CTTCAGCTGAATCAATCAGCAGGCCTTTTCTTCAACCATTCCTCCAGCTGAATCAATCAGCAGGCCTTTTCTACAACCATTCCTCCAGCTGAATCAATCAGTAGGCCTTTTCTACAACCATTCCTCCAGCTGAATCAATCAGCAGGCCTTTTCTACCACCATTCCTCCAGTTGAATCAATCAGCAGGCCTTTTCTACAACCATTCCTCCAGCTGAATCAATCAGCAGGCCTTTTCTACAACCATTCCTCCAGCTGAATCAATCAGCAGGCCTTTTCTACAACCATTCCTCATGTTAAACACATAAACAGCAGGTCTTGATTTCTTAAAGAATAATTTTCATATCATGTGATTTGTCATTTCCAAAATTACTTTGTTAAAAATAATTTTGATTTTACAAACAAGCACTCTGATGATGACATATATAAGATGCTCAGTTTCTCCAAAACATAATCTCCAACAGAAATCAAATTTATGGACTTTACAGTCTGCTAAACTGTTTCCTATTTGGATGTATAAATGATCTCAATTTGTTTGATCAATGCTTTTATACTTTTAATTTCATGTAGACTTGAAGACATTTTCATCTTAGGTAAATAAATTACATGTATAATGCCTGCCACAATTTAGCATAATTTTCTCTTCACAAAGTAAATTTTTAAACTAACATAAAACTAACCAGATACTAATATCAGATAACGTTTATTGGTTGTATCACTTGGAAACTTTATCATTGAAAATCATTGAAACATTTATATCAATATAGTTCAATCAAGTCTGGATTCTGCTCAACAGAAATAAGGAAACTGCCATGGATCGATATGTGGTAATCTGCTTCCTGGCAGTGAGTAAGTATGAGTTTTATATTTTATCTTAAGTACCGGAAACATAGAGTACTTCCTACACTTACTGTAAATAAAGAACAGCTTCTAGGAGCTTTCTCTTAATTTCTAAAATAATTCTGTCAAGTATCTTGTAAGATTTACATGTATAACATGTAAACTATAGAGGAAAAGTAAAAACATCATAATACAAAGGTCCTTCTTGGAGAGTTTTTGTTTCTGTTACAATTCATGTCTCAGTATAAATCAACAGGATCAGTTTTAATCACAAAATTAATGTCAGCCTACGTAGGACGGATTCCATTTCACTTCAAGAACTTGGCGTGGTGTCTCAGATGGTCCTCCATAAATGTCGCCATGAAGTAGTAACTGTGATCGTAACCCTGAAAAACAAGTACGGAATAGAACATCAATATCCAGTACATCTTAATAAGTAAACCAAAGATGTCATACTTATTAATACACAGCATTACCTCTTGCATTCTCATGACCAGCTCCATCTTGGCCTCGGCACACGCTGTGACAAAGTTGTCTGGGAGAAGCTGACCCGCAGGCAGAAAGTTGTCAGCTTTACCCTGAAATACAGCAAATGGTGAGGGAATTATGTAATGTTCATATGCCTTTACCGCTATTCAACTGAGTGAATTAAACCAGTAAACTTAAGGGTTCTCCATGAGCAGAGGTTATGTGTGCATGTATGCTTGTGTAATTAAAATGAATAGTGGTTCGATTGAGAATTTGATTGCCAACATACTGCTTCTTGTAAAGTTTGCAACACAGTTAACTTTCAAATGATGGAGAACCCTGGAACTCCGAAATCTGAGTCAAGATTTCCACCTAAATATTAATTTTAATGAAGAAATTCAATTCTTTCTGACATATTTCCTCTTTACATGTGTTTATACCTGATCAACAAGAATCTTCAGTGGTGGACCATTGTACTTCTTCACCAAGCAACAGGAATCATACTCCTGACAAGAAAAAAACATAAACCAACTCAAATAAAACATTTACTTCTAATGTACATCACCAACCTCATCTTCCCAATATACATTGTTATTTGGTATTTATAGAAACAAAAAAAATCACAAATTAGTGTATGATTGTACACATACATAACATTATCTGACACAAATATGCTCCAAAATGATATTTCGTAAGAAGACAATCTTGCATACAGACTGTAATTATACAGAAATTACTGTAAATGTATTACATTTAGCCTTTATATTTATATTTATATTGATTTTTAAACAAGTTAGCGAAGATCTTACTAAGCATATTTCTCAATGTTCCTATTTATCTATGTGTGGAAGACATTTAGTGTTGTACTCAGCAGAAAGTGCTATAAAGAACACACAGAAATGTAATATGTTAACAATAAGTTCTTGTGAAAAGATAGGGGTTTACAGTATACTTGTAAACAACCATGGATTTCTGCCAAATCATTAAAGATACTTTGATGGATTAGTGTACCTTCCAGTCTTCTTGATTTTCTCCTAGGTAACCAGAGAAAGCTTTCTTCCCCCAGGGGCAGTTGACAGGGTTACAAATGGGTGCAAACGCACTGACACTCAGATATTTCCCAGGGTTCTTCAGTGCACAGATAAGGGATCCGTGTCCTCCCATACTGTAAACAAATAGAAATGGCTGACCAGGTGTGACAAGTAATTCCAACTGGATGTATCCCCAATCACCATCAACAACAAGTAAATTAATCTATCATTCACAATACTTTTACATTTTTTACATTGCTTTTATGATTCACAGTTAAAAAAAAATGATTCGAGTGCTCCAACAATAAAGTAACCCAGGTCAATATCCAATATTTCCCAAACTAATACAGAAGATTAAATTATCAATTACTTCAGTGAGTCAAGATTGATTTTAATCCTACCTGTGTCCAAATATACCCTGTTTATCTGCTAGTACTGGAAATTTGGAATTTACCAAATCTGGAAGCTATAAAGATACAATAAATGGTAAAATGCCAATTCGTCTTAAACCAATATTTCTAACAAAGAATTTATCAAACTTTGAAACATTTCTTAAAAGTAAGAGACAAATACAATCAGAGTTACCTCCTTTGTGACGTAGGAATACATTCTGTAGTTGTTTTTCCATTTGTCCTGAGTGGCATCGACATAAAATCCTGCCCCTGTCCCGAAATCCCAGCCATCTTCCTCCCCTTCAATGTTACAACCCCCTAAACAATGAGAAAGTAATGAAATTTACCATCACATATTTACATATGATAAAAAAACTCGTATTTACAATAAGTCAAATCATATTTCTAAGAAAGAGTTATTCCCCTTTAATCTCTCTCTATGGAAACTTTATGAAACATTCTTAGTGCGTTTCACTTTTTGGAAGACTTGTTTTCGTCATGGATGAAAATTTCTTAACAAACAATAGGGGCAATGCATATATGCAAATGCTATTCTTGCTTGAAGCATTTCAAAAAAGATTAATGTATTTAAAAAATACAGCAAGGTTTTCCCTAAGAATTGAAATAGCAGAGAGTGTTTAAAAATGGGGACTGGGGTTCCTTTCTACAGTGAATTGAGAGGGAATACCAGATAACCAGTTGATAATGTCATTTCTCAGCCCCTGGGCTCTAGCACAACCCTTTATATACAGGCAAAAGAAAATGGAGGAAAAAACATCAATTTTCCTACCACAAAAAATAAACTTGTCCCCCCTCCCTCCATTTATATAAAACATATATAGAACACTGCTTGTCTTTAACTTTCTCTTGTTTAGAGTCTTGGAATGGTGTTTGGTTTGAAAATAATAAACCCAATCTCAGCTGCTACACTGTGACTTACTTGGACTGGTGTCAGGTGCTACAATAATAAACCCCAGCTCTGCTGCTACTCTCTGGGCTCCAGCCTTCGTTACAAAATTCTGTTCAGTGCAGGTTAAACCTAAACATATATAAAATGGTAAATCAAAATGACGCCTAGTGTAATCATTTCTCCATTTACAGTGTTTGCACATTTTATTGAATAAATTCTTTTCTTCATTAGTTTTTATCATGAGAATCATAAACTGCACAAGCATCAGAGAACATTTTACTACATGTTTATTCCTTACTTCAGTTGATATAGATAATATGATATCACTGTCATGTCCATCGTTGTGACCACACAGTACGTTTTGTGTCAAGTGGATTCACATATAACATGTGATAAGTATTACATCTATCTATGTACAAAAAATGTAATTTTAAAAAATCTCCCACAGTTTGTAGTTGGGAATTATTTGTATAGATCTAACTTGTTGTGATTTTCTATCCCTCTCCCACGCTCAGGGATAGAAATGGACAACTTGTTGGATAAGAATCCTATCCAACCACAAATGAGGAAGATCATCCTATAATTTTACCTGACAACCAATACAGAACAGGACATTTGCCACTCTCTGCTTGGGGAGGAAGGAAAACACCAAACTTCATTGTACATTTAACCTCAGTACTGAAAAAAAGAGAACATTTTTTATCCCCCATACCAGGAAATTGAGGTCACATTCAATATTATCCATTAACCAGCTCTCCACAGTTGAAGTTTAAAAGCATTATGGTTTTATAAGCAACCAGACATTAGCCAGGGTGATTAGCAGGTTTCAGTTTATTTAGAATCCTGATATTTCTCCACTTGTTATTGAATACAAGTAGTACTACAGTTGGGATTATTTAAATCTGTGTGGTGCACAATTAGCCAAATAAATCCATACCTTTCATGACTGAAAACCTTCTGGTAACCTCCAAACATTTTGTTGCTTGATACTTCTGTCAAAGCCATGGTTGATCTTTAGAAGAAAACATGCATTATTTAAGAAACAGTAAACTGCTAAATGCTAATGATATTTTATCATGTGTTTGAGGCAATTCGGGACGCCGTACAAAGCTCGCTCATATTCATGTTACAGAAAGTAGATTTCTCTCATATATTCGTGAAGCTTACTTGCATAATGTTTATGAATTACAATGCATTAGTTAAATATGCTTGCCAACGATTAATTTGCTCATTTACTCACAAAGTTTGTCGCAACTCCCACTGAAATCTCTTCAAGCACCGGCTGACGAACAACATATAGGTCAATGCGACTCCGCTAAAAATAAATCCCCAAATAACTTCTAATTCAACTCATCAAGCATTTTTTAAAAAGCTTGACAACCTTTACAAAATATAAAGCACAGAGAGTTTAAAATATTTAAATACAGATGTATTTTCAGTAGAGCTTAAATATTTTTTTTTTTAATCTTTGTTTGAAAATTGCAAAAACGAGTATGCGGATTAATATTTTTCCTTACCTACTTTCACTTTCGACCAAACTGACGTGGACGTGAACAAAATGTAAACATCGCCTCAAAGGTGTTAATTTTTCAGTATGGGTGAGGGCAGAAAGCAGGGAGGGAGAATTTTTGTGTACCTACAATGTTGTGAGTGCATAATTTAATTAGATCTGTAACTGAGTCACTATTATTAACTCACAGTGATTTTCTCACAAAATGGAAGAAATCTGATAAATGCTAGAATATCGATCTATGGTTACATTATGATGATGATTAGATTATTACCTGATAGCATTCACTAAGTTGATATTAGCGCATTAAAGGTATACATTTGAACTTTGTAGATTTTGTCACAATAGCCACTATACTGGGTACAGGAATATTAGGTAGGTGACGTTTGTGGAGCAGTACAGATGCTAATAATGCTTTGCCTGCTTTATTTTAAATTCTAAGTGTCTGTTGACCAGTAGAGTGTTTGAACAATAATGATTATAAAGTCTTCCCTTTGAAACAGGTCTTCCAGTTACTTTGAGTGAATCTGGAATTTATCCCTTCTTGGTGTCTTTCCTGTTTGGTGCCTTTATGCAGGTGAGTTACTATATTTAAATTTTAATTTTAAACACAGATGTGTGGTTATCAGACCGAAATATACTTTGCTGCAGTCATGCAGTCTTTTGATCTCGGCCTGATTGCATCAATTTCAGTTGGGGAGGGTCCAGGGGATTAAATCAAAAAAATATTGACATTAGCAAAATTTTTTTTTAAAAATGGGGTCATCAGACAACTTATTATGAAGGTGACATGAATGTTAAGTAACTTTGTTTTCCATTGATCATACATACAGTTTAGCCTGTTAATCTGGACATCTATTCACAAAAAATCGTAAGTTTACGACTACGACTTGAACTTACGATAATCCTAAGATAAAAGTTACGAGCTATTCACGAAAGTGGTCGTAAGATCGACACATTGTCGTAAGTGAAAATCGATCGTAAGATTTTTCCTTCCTTGGTTACCGACAACTGCTCATGCGCAGTACATAGTACGAGAAAAGCGAAAGTAGGCCTAGCAGACGATTACGCAACACCCGAGTCTTGAAAATGAGCGCTGACAGCAGCAGGAAGAAGAATTGGAGTGCCGGAGAAATATCTCTCCTCGTGGATCTCGTATCCGAGAGGAAAGATGTGTTGAGGGGGAGATTTTCTCCGGCACTCACCTCAGCAGATAAGGCTGGGGCTTGGGAGGCCATCACCACAAGGTTTGTAAAATTTGTTTACAATGTCAAATCACTCTATAAAAGTATGCAACAACAGTAGATATGTGATTAACATGCAAGTATATTTAAATAAAAATATGAAATATCTGGATGTATAGTGTAAACAATACTGAACAATGTCTTAAAATGAAATTCCAAAATGAAATTCCTATCGGACTTACATTTGCAGGTGTATGGGGGAAAAGGGTGGTTGGGTAGGGGTAAGCATCGACGTCACTGTAGGCCCTATATTTCTTACGTTGAGTGTTCATTTTAGAAATGTGGATAAGTTGTTCATTTATATTATATAATATTGTGAAATCCGGTAATCTGATTAGTAAATAGTGAATACGAAGTATTTACTTATTTTTTTAATTGACGAATAATGACTCGAACGAACTGTCTCTTTTTCACTTTCGCTTTAGTCAAACCCATTAATTATACAGAGATTCGTAAGTTCACAAGTTTGCGAACTGCAGTGAGAAAGATTCTAAAGATATCCTGAAGAACTCTGAGGCCGAAAATACAAAACGATTAACAAGGATACCTGTTAACATTGTTTTCGGGAATATTTAAAACAAGCCATTCCATGGTTGAATTCGACGAGCATAGTTTTGATGCTGTTTACGGAGACTAAAGAAAATAAAGACAAGCATGCCATATATGGTTGTGTAGATAAATTATCGTATATGACATAGGTATTAACATTTTGTGAATGCATTTCCTTTGCAAGTATAAATGAGTGCGATTATAGGGGAGGGGTACTCTGGTTTATTCGGCGTTATATACCTCTATACCTTGTGTTATAATCATGTGATGGGTTAAAAAATTATTACTGAGAATTATAACCGAAATTAGTGTCTATGAGTAACATTCAATAAATTCTGAAACATTTACATTCAACCTATTTATGGTTTACAACAGACAGCATTTTATCTCTGTAAACATTAAGTAGGTATACATTGTACTACATGTAATAAATTTGGGAAATAATATAATATATAAATAAATATGAATTAGGTAAATATACTCCACATATCATCGGTCAATATCTGTCATCCTGGGTCACAATAAATACATATTGACCTACATTGAGTCCTTATTTGTATAATAATTTCATGTTGGAATTTAATTATGTTGAATATTTTTAAATATTTATACATTTCAAATATTTTTTCCTTAAGATTTTAAATTCTGTGCAATTTAGAAGATTGTTCATTATCTCATGAATTACCATATTCATTTTTTTATGAAACTATTCAGTGTAAATGCAGTTGGTGGAAGTGGACGTACCACAAAAGAAGTAAAAAAAAAGTGGCAGGATATTCAATCATCAACTAAAAAAAAGGAAGCGGAGAGAAAAAGACTATCCACTAAGACAGGGGGTGGCCCTCCCCCTGAGGACACCAAAGATTGGGAGAAGAGGGTAAGTTTTACATTCTAAGAAGGGCAGTTGGGAATTTTTGTTGCAAATGATTTAAAAGTTATCATGTTACTTGTAGCATACACAAAATATTTGTCAAATTTGAAACAAGTCTAATGATGTACGTCATTCAATTGCCACAAAATGATAGTTTACGATCATTTTAAGATATATTGGGCCAAAAGAAATAATAGTCTTGTTTCCTGCTACCAGCCAGAAAAAAATAGGGTAGGTAGGTAGGGAAATTATTATGCGCCCGGATCGATAGATCCCGGGCGTATATTGTTTTTGTCCTGTCTGTTTGTCTGTTTGTCTGTTTATCTGTTTGTCTGTTTGTCTGTTTATCTGTTTGTCTGTTGTCAACTTTAACCTTGGCCATAACTTTTGAACAATAAGAGATAGAGACTTCATATTTGGTATGCATACTCCACTAATAAAGTCCTTTCAAATGACATCAAGATCAATGACCTTGTGACCTTGACTGTGACCTATATGCTAAAAATAGCTTTTTACACTGTTTGTCATAACTTTTTAACCATAGGAGATAGGGACTTCATATTTGGTATGCATACTCCACTAATAAAGCCCTTTCAGTTGACAACAAGGTCAATGATCTTGTGACCTTGACTGTGACCTATATGCTAAAAATAGCTTTTTACACTTTTTGCCATAACTTTTGAACCATAGGAGATAGGATCTTCATATATGGGATGCATACTCCACTGATTAAGTTCTTTCAAATGACACCATGTTCAATGACCTTGTGACCTTGACTGTAACCTATATGCTAAAAATAGCTTTTACACTTTTTGCCATATCTTTTGAACCATAGGAGATAGGAACTTCATATTTGGGATGCATACTCCACTGATTAAGTTCTTTCAAATAACACCATGGTCAATGACCTTGACTGTGACCTATATGCTAAAAATAGCTTTTTACACTTTTTACCATAACTTTTAAACCATAGGAGATAGGGACTTCATATTTGGGATGCATACTCCACTGATTAAGTTCTTTCAAATGACACCACGGTCAATGACCTTGTGACCTTGACTGTGACCAATATGCTAAAAATAGATTTTTTGAACTTTGTTGCCGCCGGGCGCATAGTGTTTCACAAACACATCTTGTTTTATTTTTTAATTTTATTTTATTTTTTCCAATCATTATGGTATTTTTTTGGATATGAACTATGACAAAACCTAATTGAACATGTCATAGCTAAGGTCAATATCATCTTTTATAATGAAATTCCATGTCTTTGGATGTACAACTCGATTGGAATTTTATGAAAGTCCATATTTTAAACATATATTTCATGTAATACAACTTGAGTATATATATATTTTTTTTCACTTTTGAAACATGAAATTCCTATAAAAATTTGGAATTTTTTCCCCAAAAGCTAAAAAAGACTTTAGGGTCGGGTGCAAAAAAATAGGGTATGTCGGGTAGCAGGAAACAAGACTATTTTTTATTTTGGCCTTGGCATTAAATATATGAGCTAGGGCGATTATTAGGTCACCTGAGTAAACTCAGGTGACCTATTGCTATCCGTTTTCGTCCGTCGTCGTCCGTCGTCCGTCGTTCGTCGTGTGTTAACATTTGAACATTTTTAGCTTCTTCTCTGCAACCACTGAACCAATTTCAACCAAATTTGGTACAAAGCATCTATGGGTGAAGGGGAACAAAAATTGTGAATTTCATGATCCCTGCCCCCCTGGGGCCTGAGGGGTGGGGCCAAAACCACTAAAATTAATGCAATCTTTAAAAATCTTCTTCTTTACTCATGGACATCAAGCAGTCAAACTGTTTGCATGATTGTAATCAGCATTGAGTCCTCTACCAAAATTGTGAAATTCATGGCCCTGGGGTCAGGGGTTCTAGTGCTAGGGCGGGGCTAAATAAGTATATAGTGAAAATGCATTATTTCTTTGAAAATCTTCTTCTCTACTCCTGGGTATTAAATAAATGAACTAAGTACATAGTTATGATGAGCAAGAGTGCCTCTACCAAAATTGTGAATTTTATGGCCCCAGGGTCAGGGGTTCTGGTGTGAGGGCGGGCTCTATTGATTATATATAGTGAAAATACATGAATTCTTTGAAAATCTTCTACTCTGCTCCTAGGTATTGAATAAACTAACTAAGTGCATAGTTATGATGAGCAAGAGTGTCTCAACCAAAATTGTGAATTTTATGGCCCCAGGGTCAAGGGTTCTGGTGTTGGGGAGGGGGGGGGCTATATTGATTATATAGTGAAAATACATGAATTCTTTGAAAATCTTCTTCTCTGCTCCTAGGTATTTAGTAAACTAACTAAGTGCATAGTTATGATGAGCAAGAGTGCCTCAACCAAAATTGTGAATTTTATGGCCCCAGGGTCCAGGGTTCTGGTGTTAGGGTGGGGCTCTATAGATTATATAGTAAAAATACATGAATCTTTGAAAATCTTCTTCTCTGCTCGTAGGTATTAAATAAACTAACTAAGTGCATAGTTATGATGAGCAAGAGTGCCTCAACCAAAATTGTGAATTTTATGGCGCCTGGATCAAGGGTTCTGGGGAGGGGGGGGGGGGGCTCTATTGATTATATAGTGAAAATACATGAATTCTTTGAAAATCTTCTTCACTGCTCCTAGGTATTTAGTAAACTAACTAAGTGCATAGTTATGATGAGCAAGAGTGCCTCAACCAAAATTGTGAATTTTATGGCCCCAGGGTCCAGGGTTCTGGTGTTAGGGCGGGGCTCTATAGATTATATAGTAAAAATACATGAGTCTTTGAAAATCTTCTTCTCTGCTCGTAGGTATTAAATAAACTAACTAAGTGCATAGTTATGATGAGCAAGAGTGCCTCTACCAAAATTGTGAATTTTATGGCCCCAGGGTCAAGGGTTCTGGTGTTGGGGAGGGGGGGGGCTCTGTTGATTATATATTGAAAATACATGAATTCTTTGAAAATCTTCTTCACTGCTCCTAGGAATTAAATAAACTAAGTACATAGTTATGATGAGCAAGAATGCCTCTTTTAAAATTATGAATTTTATGGCCCCAGGGTCAGGGGTTCTGGTGTTAGGGGGGCGGGGCTCTATTGATTATACAGTGAAAATACATTGAATCTTGAAAATGTTATTCTCTGTCTCTGGTTATGAAGCAGATGAACTACCTTTATAGTTATGATGAGCAAGGGCCCTAATCTTGCAGACTTGTGAATTTCAAGGCCCCAGGGTCAGGGGTGGGGTGGGGGCTCTACTTATATACTGAAAATGAATTTATTGTTTGAAATCTGCTCTTTTGTATTTATAAAACATTTATTTTTTTTATATTAAGGGTGCCTTTTTAAAATTTGTGCAATGTGTGGACCTAGGGTCAGGGGTTTATGTCACAGTGTTAGGGGCACTACTGATTAGTTGGAATGCATTTTTGTTCCCCTACCCTGTGTATGGGTATTCAGTAACCAAGCTAAGCAACTGCTAAGTGTATTGTTATGATGATCAATGATGCCTCTTTCAAAATTGTGAATGTCATATAGCATCTGGCTTAAAACATGAATCAAATTCAATAACTGGAAAGTTGTTGCATAATGCTCAGGTGACCTATAAGGCCCGTGGGCCTCTTGTTTTAGATAATTGGAATCATCTCTGACAAAGTTATGTATGGGATTGACGGGGGTACAGACACTCTAGAGGTCTCAACAGGAACAGGTATGAACATCATTCATTTAATAAAAATTGTCTTTGCCTTTTAATTTTACATGTACTTTAAGTACAGTTTGATGAAATCAAGTAAGTCATCAAAGTATAGAAAAAAATCTTCAAATTGAATTGCACAGCAGATTGAATTAATTAATGAAATATTATTAGTATTAATCTCGCACGTGTGCATCAACAGCATGACCATGAAGAGTTTATTTTAAAGTAAATCAACATTCAGAGCTACATTCTGTTTTATATAATTTTATAACTGCATATTAAGGCATATGTATATTATTTTCCTTGCTATCTGAATAAAATGAAGATTTGAAGTGCATGATAATTTTCAGTTCTTAAAGCATGTAGTGAGAGTGAATGCAGAACTAGTGCACAGGCAGTGCTACCTGGGGTATCTGCCACAGAGACTGGAGGTACAGGTTTATAATTGTTCCAGCTAATTTGGAAGATCAGACAATTTCTATAATAAGATTTCATGTTTATGTTTTATCTGTAAAATTTTGAGTGAATCATTTATAGATAAAAAAGTTTTAAATTAAAACAATGAATACAATGCATAGAAGTTCATGGGAAAAAAACTTTACTTTAAATTGTACCTGTTAATGATAATGAATTCATTGCTACATTTGATATATTTATAGCTACCTGTAGCACACCAACTTCAGCTGAGGGAACCACAGATATTGAGCCAGGTATTAAGACCTTGTTTTATTAGAATTAAGATATAGCTATATAAATTACAAAATCTTACTACATGTATATGAAATACATGGTTAGGGTGTTGAAATCTAAAGTTGTGGAGTATAAAAACATAATTTTTATTGATTTTTAACCATGAAATGACAAGTCAAAAACAGTTTTGTCACAAAATGTAGAAAATTAAAACATTATAAGGCCATTCCAAGTTTTTTCTCTTTTTAGCATCCACTCATCTTTCAAAAACCTACCTACCTATTTGCAAAAAACACACATGCCAAAACATAAAACGTAAGCTGAAAAGTCATAAAAATGACGTCCTTCAAATGATTTGATCTAACTAAACTGCTTTAATAGAAGAAATATCTATTCTTAAGCAAAAACAACGGATTAAATGCTTACAATACACCCAATATAACTTACTGTACAGAATTATTTGGAGAAATTTACAAAATTAAAAAAATTTGACTAAATTTATCAATTTCAGGACTCCTATTTTTGTGTTTTTCTTCTCATATGGGGTGTCAAAAAACCAAGGTGCACGCGGACGCTAAACATAGAAAAACTTGGAATGGCCTAAATTAAAAAAAAAACAAATAAACCCACATATATCTGCAGTAATGAAAATGCATTTTTACAGTGGTCATTAATACGCGTAAAACTTTAGAAGACCAGGATGGCTCTAAAAGAAGCAAATGTAAGTACATGTATATAGCTAAAAGTTTTATATGTGTATCTTTATTGATTTTGCTCCACCCTCTCTCTCACTTTGTAAACTTAGCATAAATTTGAAAAAAAAAATCAGCATACTGTCATACAGAAATGAATTTGAATTTATATGAACATTTTTTTCTTACTTATTTTATGATTAAAAAATTAAAGTTACTGATTTTTATATTCAATTACCTTAATCCACTTGATTTCAGGTGAGAAACAAAGCAGCAGAAAGCAGAAGAACACAGGTGGGTTGATTTTATATGCACATGATATCTTGCAAACACTGACAAATTTGGCCTCCTGATTCCAAATACATTCACAAATATTATTTTAGGATTTTTAAAAATTGTCGCTTTTGAAAATTGTGATTTGATTAAATCTGCTTTGATCTATGATTATTTTAATATTATTAGTTTTAATTTTTTTAGTGTAAGCATTTTTTAGCCAAAATGTATTTATTAATTAATCTTAATTTAGCAGAAGATACATCTGAGCTCATCCTCATCCAGAGAGAGATGCTGGACATTATGAGGGAGGATGTTTCAATTAAGAGGAAAATATTGACATCGTTGGAGGAGTTGGTGACTTTAAAGAAAATTAAATTAGATAAACACTTGGAAGAGCAGACCCAAGGTCCATCATATTTTGAACTGTAATTTTAGGAATAAAATTTTTTCCTATGAAATATTTTGTCTAGGAGTTATTCACCTTAGCCACCATATTTTAATAGGGCAACATTCCCAGATCCCTTCAGTATGCAACTAAGTTCAATTTGTTACACTGGTTACTGAGGTAAAGATAACTCTATTGTTCTTATGAATATACATTTGTTAAAGCCTCTATTAATTCATGATTATAACATTGTAAATATTTTCCACTGTATATTTTTTGCCTGCAAGTTTAAAATTGGTTGCTCAAAGAGGTAAATTCAATAATTTGTCCTACAAGATGGCTACTAAGGGGAATAACTCCTGGACAAAATAGTTAGTGAAAATCATGACCCTGAATGTGGTTGTATCTTTAAAAGTCATGACACCTGGGGACATGGTGGGGTCACATTCAGAATTAATGTTTTACATGGGAATTATTGACTAAGGTGAGTGTTGTGGCCCATGAGGATCAACTATTCTGATCAGTGTTTAGCGTTCATTTTTTTTTTTGTCTTTTGTGTGTCATCTGCTTACATATCACATTATTGGTTGGTTGTTTGATGTTAACCTGACTTATCTTATTCTGTGCTCCAACACAAAATATTTTTACACAATGTCATAAGGCAAACCCGGTATATGTAAATCAACTTTTCTCTTGTTAAGTAGCCGTTTTTACAGCTTTTGGTAGACTGTGTAAAAAATATATTTTATACATGGTAATCGTTTCCAAGTTGAACAATTTATTTGCTAAAGCATGTTCAATATGTAGAATGGCAGGGTAATATTAATTATGATTTTACTGATGCATCCTATATGCAAAAAATTTGGGATAAATTTTGAATCCCTGTAGCTATATTGGGGCCACATTATATGTTAAGTTTAATGCTTTTTATGAGAATGAACAGGAAAGTACGTTGTTTTATTTTCTGATGAGAAAAGAAAGACCGTGTTGATTCAATTTATATAAAACATAAGGAAATTGCGATAATGTTGCAAAGAAATATTTATTTTACAGAATAAGTACCATATCCATTGGTTTATATCATTAGAACAGTGACATGAATTATGTATTTTTCAAATGGATGTTCAAGAATTCAGTCTAAACACAAGTCCTTACAAGTATGTGCAACATCAGTGAAAACAGTGATAATTTTTAGATATGAGTACAAAATCTGATCCTTGATTCAAATGAAATTTTCAATTTTTTACATACATATATAAAAAATTATTTGATCTTAACAATTTCCATCCTTGTCAATTAAATATTTATATTACAAATAAAACCTGTTAAAGTGTGAGTGGTTAAATAAATTAAGCATTTTTCTCTTCTTGTTATCAAGTACTTGTATATAGATAAATTTATTCAAAATTTTGAGTAAGAGCTTATCTTGTCATTTTTTCTCAAAAGTTTGCCACATAATGTTTAAGGATTATGATACCTGTATATATACCTTTCTTTTTTACACTGGACATGAGAACACTTACGGGTACTACTGAACATTTGTATAATTTTCACCACTAAATGAAAAGCTGAACGAGTCTTTCACGTTGCAGTGTACCATCACGATCTTGTCCCAGATAGACAGTGTCCTCCTCAGAATTTATCTCAACTCCATCACCCCCTGGTGCTACCAAAGGAACTTTTCTATCGATGCACACGTTGTGCAATTTCATTGCAACACTAATCACTTTAATACACTTTTCAGGGCTGAATGGCAAACATCCTCCAGTTTTGTGCAAGCATCTTAAAAAGGAAAAAAAAACAAGGTGTATTTGTGAAACACTGATTCCCTTGTATGCCGAGGGATGAAGTTTCTCAAATATAAGTCAAACTCTAAGGTCAAGGTCAAACTTGTTGGTAGCCAAAGGAAGGTTAAGTCACAATGAATATATATGTGAAATAAGGAAGCCCTTGTGCTAACGGTTTCAAAGATATAGTCAAGGTTTAAAGTTTTTAAAAGTGGACCAAACTATAAGTTCAAGGATCAAAAAGTCAATTATCAATCAATCGATTGATTATTGTGTTTTACACTACGTCGGGAATATTTCAGCCATATTTAGATGGTATTAGTTTAGGTCCTATATGAAAGATTTGAAGCTAGTGTTTTGGTTTTTATGGCTATTAATTTTGTTTAAACTGATAGATAAAAATAATTCAGGTTACATGTATATATATATGCTATACCTGAAACGCGATTTGAGGACGCCAAAGGCCCTTTCTACCACGACCCTCGTCTGTCCATGGGCCTTATTGTAGCGCTCCTCTGCCTCTGTTTGTGGGTGCAGCTTTGGAGTCATTAAGCATGCCTTTAAGGGATATCCGGAATCGCCAACCAGCCAGCAGTTGGGTAGCCCCTCCAAAACCTCCCGCAACTTGCTATTGTTGAATATGAAGCTGTCATGAACAGATCCTGGCCATTTACACACCATATTGGTGAATCTGTAATATACATATATCACAGGATTTACACTCTGTGTATACTTCAGAAGTAAATGTATAAAACCTATGAACAACTGTAAGCAAATTCAAAAAATATTTTGGTCCCCTGCTTTCAATGTCTTTTTGGGTGAGTCTAGATGTCATAATTATATATTGTGCTGAATATGAACACCATATGATACATGTATGCCATTCCAATGTTATCATCAAAATTGATTTTATTTTAAATTAGGTCAATCATGGTGGTCAAGGGGTCAGAAATCATAGTATACTCTGAAATATCTTGTCACAGATAACACACGTCAATGTGAAAACACTATCTCTTCTTCAACAAGTGATAAAAGAAAAAAAAGAAAAGTCAAAGGTCAAGGTCACAGGGTCAGAAATCATAATGTATTCAGAAAGGTCTTGTCACAGATAATACATCTCATTTAAATGTTTTGGAAAATTTAAAGTTAAGTTGAAATTGTTTGAAAAGCAGATCAAACTCCAAGGCCACGGAGTCAAAAATCACACAGTGCATTTAGAAAGGTCTTGTCACATGAAATAGGCATATATGTAATATCTCTTCTTTCAAAGGATATTACCAATGTTAATTTGTTTACTATAGACAAACAAACGAATAAGGCTTAATGCAAAAGCGTGGGACAATATATGAATAATCAGTCTCTAACCTTAAAGATGAGTCAACCACGCCCTGAACATTTAAGGCGTGGTATCCTTTACGACATACGTATACGTATTCGTCGTCCTTTGGAGCAAGGATAGGAATCAATGTTCCATCTACAGCGCCGATCACCCCAGGGAAGTTTGCAAGGTTGTAGAACTGCGTTTTGGTTTTTATGATATCTTGTTCTGATGTTGGAAAATTAATATTTTGCAGTCGCAGGTCAAGGGCTGACACAACTCGGGATATAACTCTCGACACCTTGGGTTGGGAAATCCCGTGTAGGTCGCCGCACTCCGATTGGAAGTCACCTTTGGCCAAATATCTCAAAGTCACCAGCATCTATACAATTAATTAAGACAACAAGTCAAATATAAAGGTCTTGGGACAATTAATATACATGTAAGATATGAAAGACATAGCTCTAACCAATCAAAAGTTATGGAGAAGGAATCAGTTGGGGGGTACGTGTGGTGAAATAAATTTAATAAAATGCCCCCAAGATCTTTCAGTCACGTGTTTGAAAGGGAGAGGTTGACAAACCAAAGGAAAATTTCCCCAACTCGAAAATCCTATTTCGGGGTGGAGGTGGGGTGGTTAGTAAGAGGCAATTTTTTTTTCAACGTCAACTTTTCAGTACAATTTTTTGGATACAGAAGTACATAGAACCGGTCTTTCAACGAACATTTTCAATAGTAAAAGTAATGTTGGGGGAGGGGGTGGGGGCATCCCCTCCCAGCCCCCTTTGTTGCTACGTGCCTGTCTTTGCTAGTGACGATGTAGAAAAAAGATGTTATATAATATAAACCTTAATCATTGATAATTAAGGATGTCCAAGCGTATATCAGGCACGTAGCAACCGGGGAGGGGGGCTGCCCCCTCTTTTTCCCAAACTTTACTTTTAATGTTGAAATTGTTCATTAAAATAGGATTTTCGAGTTTTGGCAATTTTCCTTTTTTTTTGGCTTGTCAACTTTTTCAGGTATAAGTCCCAAAAAATGTCTTTGGCTATGTAACATTTAGGGAATTAATTTCTATATGGATATTGTATATATAATTTTTTGTTCTCCCTCTAATTTTTTTATTTGATGTATTGCTTGACCCATATGGGTGTATTATGTAATAAAGAGTAGTATTCATAATAAACCGGGCGGTGGTTTTTGATAATAGAATTTTTAAACATAGCCAATCTTCAAGAAGTATATG